GAAATTAAATTACTTAAAGACTAGAACTAATGTACCGAGCCAATGTGTGCAGCATGTAACCTTCTTGTCTGGGATAACCAGAGAGGTCGAAAGGTCGCCTCCTGACATGTGGAAGTGTCAATGGCGTCTTGGGGCGGTGACCTACTTGGAAACTCGCTAGCCGCCAAGGCGCTATTAAAGTCAGAGGGAGGGTCTTGGTCAACCTGATATTTTGAAGGACCCTGGTAAGAGTAATGGCAGTGGAAAAGCGTACGCTTTTAGTCCCTCCCAGGGGACGGTATAGCGTATGCCAAGGCTTGAGGATCCAGCACAGATAGGGAGGTCCAAACCTAACTGGTGGCAAACAGGTCGATGTTGGGGTAGCCGAGGTGTCGACAGACAAGATCAAAGGTGTCCGGATGGAGTTTCCATTCTGTGGAAGCTACCTTGTATGGTCTGGAGAGGCCGTCGGCAAGGATGTTGCGGCTACCTAGAATGTGTTGGAATCTGAACTTGAGCTCCATTTGATTGTCTAGTTGGGAAGACTGGATGACCAAGGGATGAAACACAAATTGAAAAACCACGTGAGGAAGCTTTCATCCTGACGGAGCTACCCTGTCTGGCCTGGATTGTCTGCCAGGACGTTCTGGGAATGTGTTGGACCAGAACACATAGGTAACAGGTGACTACTTAGCAAAACAAAAATTAGTTATCCATATCTGTTAGTTATCTATACTGATCCTGGTTACAATAGGTCTTCATCAACCCATGCTTGCCATAAAAGGTGATAAATGGGATCGGGTGATCAGACTCGCTGACTTGTTTGATGCATGTCATCATATCCCGATTATGTAGACCAATGCTAATGATGTCAATCACTGGGTTTTCTGGTCCAGGCTAAATGATTTACAGACTGCCATCATATAGTTGGAGTATTGCAGAGTGCAGCAGTAAACAACAAACAATAGTTTGCTATACTAAGTTTGTTATACACATCATTTTTAAATAATAATATAGAGAGCTGCAGTGTGTACTTGTTCAATAGATGTTTTATTCATTAGTTTGCTATATCCGTCTTCTACTATACATTTGTTCTTTAAATACTTTGTATACCTTCCAATCAAGTCAACTTGTAATATTGCTTTTCAATAGACCCAATTTTTTATTAAGGTTATGTTACATAGTATGATATTTTGGACACTAAATGATGATGTATAGCAATAATCCAGCAATATTACTGAGGACCGTAAATATTCTTGCCCACACAAACCAGTGATTGACATTATGAGCAACGTCCAATGCCTTTAGGGTACACAATGTCACACATTCAACCCAGTCACTAAGCATGACCACCCAAACCATTTAGTTGCCTCTTACAACAAGAGTCATCAGAAGATGACAAATCCCCCTGGTCTGGTGCAATTCGGAAATGGAGTTTGGTTCATTACCATTGGATACCTTCAGATCAATGAAAACAAAAAATAATGCTGTTCAGGATTTTTCAATATCCTAAATCATCAAAAGGCACAAGTTGGTAACAATGATTTCTACCTATGTTTAAAATAATAGATAATACTTTTCTGTTGTGATGAGGTTGTATGCTAGTCTTATGACAAGCCCCAAAAAGCGCATGGTCGATGGTGTATCGCTAGACAGCTCCTGATTACGGTAGTGTATCATGAAATGGTTACCCATGGTATATGTTCACACAGTTTACCACTAGACTAATCACTAGAGCAGGTTTCATCTAGAAATATTCAACCATTTTGGAGTTCTGCTCGTTTTAACGAAACTAACACAAAAATTACACCCCGACTGTTTCACTCTGTATGAAGCACTCCTCAACTAAGTCCTGACAAACTTTTGAATGTTGTACTAAAAACCATCTGAGTGGACCACGAGGTAGCAGTCTCTAGCTCGAGTCTTGTTACGGTCTATACGGAGATAAGCCAGATCACCAACCAGTACCTTCGGGGCTTTTGACTTCTCGCTGTAGTGGTGATTACTGGAACGCTGGGAATGCTGGTCAGTTATCAACTGCCTGTCGCTGATAGGTAACTGGCTGTTTGGAAACTGATCCCATTGTGTCCAAATTTCTCTGGCCGATAGACCCCTTTCTCGTATGCAAGCGTTCAACCGGGCACACAAAGCGTCAGAACGGTGACAGAAGCACCAGGTGATCTTGTCGTAGAAGTTCTTCTTCTAGCTCTTGGACAGCTCTTTCAGCAACTGTGTTTTTATTGACATTCTTGACTCTCCCAACCTCAAGATATATTCTATGCTTGTGAAGGAGCTTGTCATTGAAGATGGAGGCAAATCCTGTAGCACGGTCTGTTCAGATCACAGCTACAGGACCGTCTAATGGTCAGAGTTCAACACAAAGGCTGATGAGACCATCGCGTAGTGTATCTCCCCTCTCATTTCCAATGAGACATACATTGGTGTAAGAGGTTACTGTCTCTCACAAGGAGAGAATGAGTTGTTGTGATCACTTCAAGACATCTGCAGCAAATGACATACCTATGGATTCTGGGTGGTCAGAGGTCTATTGTTCTGTAATGGTATGGGTCATCTTCTGTAACGATGAGCATTGATGGCAACTCTTTGTTGTTTGAAGTTGGTGGGAGGAGGGATGGTCTAACTCGATATGTATAGATGTGAGTAAACCATCTAGGACTTTTCGGGATACCTCTATGAGTTCACCTGTTGGGGCTTGTGGTTCATTCTTGGTACAACCAACAGTCCATCCTTAGCTATGGTGACTGAATGGAGATACCTCTTGACATCCTTGATGCTGGTGAGCTTCTTAGATGGCCGGGTACCCTGAAGCAGGTGAGCATGGGTCCTTCTCATTTCTTGACAGTCAGATTGTATGTCGTGCCATGCAGCTCTGCTGGTGAAGGGCAACTTAGCATCTCCAGCAATGATTTCTTGAACAGACATTGTACGGATGACCAAGTCTTTCCGCACAAAGGAGCCAATTTGACAAGTTGGCTCAGTACAATCAAGGGTGTTTCGACTTGCGAAGTCTAAGGGTACATTTGCTGATAAAGCCAGGTGTCAAATATTAGCCCGATATCGACTGACTGTGGAAAGGAAAGTTGATGCGCGAGGGCTCGCTGAGAATTCACCCCTGCACAATTTCTCAAATGCCTGAACACAAGGCTTGTTGTCAGTAAGAATGCATGTGTTGTGGTGAGATTGGATGATGAAGGGGCTGAAGTGTTTCGTGGCCGCAGCAATAGAAAGAGTTTCGATTTCACAGGGAAGCCATGAGACCTGGCATCCACGAAGTTTGGCACTAAAGAAACCTGCAAGTAGCTGCCTACTGTGATGTGTGAAAAAAAGTGTTGCTCCGACACTATGATACTTGACAGCACCATCGGTCACAATCCATAATTGATCCTCAGCACGTGGAGTGAGTGAGTGAGTATGGTTTTACGCCGCTTTTAGCAATATTCCAGCAATATCACGGCGGGGGACACCAGAAATGGGCTTCACACATTGTACCCATGTCGGGAATCGAACCCGGGTCTTCGGCGTGACGAGCGAACGCTTTAACCACTAGGCTACCCGACCGCCCCTCTCAGCACGTGGAAGCACAATAGTACAGTTAGAACTCAAGGCAGTCTGGGCTTTGGCAAAGGCTGTTAACAAGTCGTCTGACCATATGATTTTGTCCTTGCTTTGTGAACCTGCTAAGGCTTCATCCAATGGCGAAAGGAGGATGGCACAAACGGGCTAGAGTGGAATCTGGTAAAAGGCATTTGTGAGGTCTGTGCTTATAATGTGTCTCCATGGGGCTATTTGGCATAAAGTTGAGTCAACATCAGGCATTAGGGAATGTTGTGGCTTCTTGTAACGTCCGACATCTGCAAAGGTAGTGACCAACCGGAAACCTCCGCTTGACATCTTTGTCTGTAGTTTTACAAGTCTGTCTCTGGAATATTTGGGAACACGTCCTGTGTGCTGCGGCGGTAGTACAGGTCCAGTGTTCACAACTGCTTGGAATGGACCCGACTTCCCGTTATAACCCTCGAACCGAGGGTCAAAAACAGAGCGACTTGAAACTAGCCACTACCAATGGGGGAATTGTAGAATCAGAGTCCAACTTGACATCACTAGAGTAGTTTGCACCCTGATGACGAACAGTTGAGGTTGGAAGACAAAGTTGTAGGGTCATGGGCTGTCGCATTGGATAGCAACTGACTTGACAAAAGTGTTCATGCCGTCTAGAGCCTGCAAAACTTCTGGTTTAATGGAAGCCACTTTAAGTCTGTGAGCATAGTTCTGTATCATATCTTTGCTTGACCAGTTTTGGCAATACAGGGTTTATCAACTGTAGCTATGTGAGGATAACAAAGTTCTCTAAAATATATAAATCCCCAATCCAAAATCATCAAAAGGAATATTTCACCACTAGACTGATCTGTATAGCAAGATATATTAATTGGTTTAGGAGTTCTGCTGTGGAAATGGAAAACGGATGGACGGACATGCTGATTCTCTCATGCTATGGAATAGCAAACTGTGGAATAAAAACGAAACATTCACAAACCCCTGAAAAGCAAATGGCAGAACCTGTACAATGTGTATACAATGTTTCCCAGTTAATGATTGATCTATTTATGCTCTGAACCCTGCCTCATTGGAACCTTTTGCCTTGGATATGCCAAAAATATATATTTCACAAACTCCTGAATAGGAAAAGGCACGCCAGTTCAGCACTTGATGTGTATTCAAGGTTTCATGAAGAAGTATTGACTGGTTTATGAGTTATGCTCCAGAAAAAAGCTGTGATGGACAGAATAATTGACATGGCTCATTTCTAAATCCCCTGCAAAATTCTGTTTGGGTGGGGAATAATAAAAATTTCGACAATTCCTACACTGAAAAGGGCACTTGATCAACCTTTGCCCAAAGTGCATACAAATTTTCTCAAAGAAATAAGGAACAGTATATGAGTAATATTCATGAAAGGAAAACTTCCATTGTGGACATGGTAAAGACAAGGAGCATACCTGGCTTTGATGGCTTTGTAGGCTGATTGTTTTCTCTTTCCTCAAACTCTTTTACTTTTTCTTTCCATCTTCGTACTTGTTCCTGAAAACATTTTAGTTCCAATCAGTCAGTGAGTAACGTATTCGACGTAATAAGCGCCCAGGGCGCTCTCAAAATTTTAAATGGGGGCTCTTATTAGAATATTATTTTGGTGATAAAAACAGAGTTGAAAGATAAATTTTGTGGTTTATGATGACAGCCTGAAATGTTTATATACGACAGATATATTTTTCCAGAATTTAATTGCCCATAATTAAGAGTGCATATAACACATGTGTGTGTATTATACGCAAATAAATAAGTCTTGTGTACATTGATCAATCAGAAGGGGTGATAATTGGGATTGTTCACTAGCCAATATATTAGCAAATATCGGCGTGGGCACTTATTAGAGCGGGGCGCTTATTACGTGGAATACGGTAACTGTTGTATATCTAAAACATATCCTGTTATACAAGGCACATGTACAAACTCAAAGAAGCTCTTTAGTCTGTATCATTATATAATTCAAACAAAATAGTTGGCATTTCGAATATGGTATTATCATCAGTGAAAGAACAACATAAATTATGAAACTACAAAACTATCGCATGTTATTAATAACATCTGACAAATATAGTAGTTTCAAACAGAGATCACAAAGATATAACTCATTACTATGAAAAAATCGTATCAAATAGTGTTTTGAGCAGTGTTGTTATTGAATACCAGAAATCCATATAATGTGTGTTTATTATTTACCCATGAAGAGATCACCCGTTTAATAAACATACAGCTGTATTACATACTGTGTAATACCAAAACGCGTGCTTATGTACTCTCGGAACATGTTTCACGAACAAATATTGAAAGCTCTCAACATCCCTTGGCTTATTCAACGACATTGCGTTTGGAGATGATAGATCACTAAGAGGAGATTATGCACACTCAATGAACCCAGCAACCTTGTTGCTAGGCTGACGTCACATGGCATTGTTTCGCCGATGGATCTTGCAACAAAATTCCACAAATTACATCATCAGGTATTGTGACATGATTGTAAACTTTGAGGTGCAAGGCCACCTTCCACAAGGCGATCGTATTGTAGCACAACGACAGTCGTTAGTCTAAGTTAAAGTATGTGAGTTGCAATAACCTGAGTGCTATGATAATTTTGTGGAACAGATGACTGAATTCTAAAGGTGGACCGTTGTATGATAAATTCAACTTATGACATGTTTGAAGTATTATTCTGTTAAAATCAATTGGATTATGCCGTGGATCTTGTAGGTGTCAGCCTATTCACACTCAACAGTATAATTCTAAAAAGGTTATAAATGGCAAATAATAAATAAAATACTAAACTCGCTCCCATGTAAAACCAATTTTAGGAAACTAGTGAATAGTTGTGGTATCTGTGGTTGTCAGATATCACAACTATTCACGAGTTTCATAATACTGGTATTACACGGGAGCAAGTTTAGTATTCTATAAACTCTCGCTAAAAACAAAATCCATGAAAAGGCAGATGGGCCATCTCTTATATCATCCATACTTTCTGAAGTCATTTTTGTGACGTTTTAATGTTAATGTCGTTATGGTTTATATAAAATTATTTTAGGTCTCCATCAGATCAGGAAAGGCCAATTACTGGCAAGATCCACTAGAAAGCATGGAAAAGACTTATGAAGCCATCATTTTAGAGGGAAGGACTCCAACGTGCAGCAAGACAGTTTTCTGTGCCCTATTTGTCTCTTTATGACTGACTTAGTGGAAACATGTCTGTTGAATGTGTAAGGTCGATACCTTATGTTTTATTATTCCAAGGAGGAGGTGAAATTATGTCTGCTTTTGGGTATATGGTTATTCTCATGCAGAAGTCATAGCTTTAGCTTTAGCTACTGATCTTGCGGTCTGTGTGTGGAAGAAACCAAAACATGACTAGCCTCTTTCAATTCAGTGGTTTTAAAGTTTTCATAAGAGATCACCTGCTCTTTGGAGATCATGAGAGCTAAAGCCACATCGTAAAAAAACAGTGAACACCTACTTTGGCAAACTGATCTTGGAAAAGTACAACCTAAGAGATAGACCTCAGTCTATGTATAACACTGATGAGAAAGGGATAGTAGTGACCCACAACTGCTGTCATAACTCCCAGGTCCAACACAATGTATCAGGCTGTGGAGACCCTGCATCAGAGATCATGTATACTAAGTTTCTTCAAATTCCAATACAAAATGTTCAAGCTATCTTGCACACAAGCTTTGTTTGTGCCCCAACTCACACTGTGTGACCTTGACCTTCAATCACATGCGAGAACATTTCTTGTCAAACACTTGCGTAATGTTTATGATGTCTGCATATCACACTGCCAGTTCTTTCTGAAAGTAACTGTTTACAAGTCAATTCATGAGGGAATGACCTTCAAAGTTACCTTTAAAACAACCTTGAACAAATGACAGGTATTGAGTTCATTAATGCTTAGATTTTTCATGAATCAATCTAAAATTTCATGAAATTTGAACCATGTATTTAATAATTTGACCTCTTGTGACCTGGACCTTAGAAAGAAGTCATCCAAAGGCTGAGATTAGGTACACAAAGTTTCATCAAATTCCATTCATAAATACTAGTCAATGTGTACAGGAACATTTTTAGGGCTAGTTCATACCAAGTGATCTTTCCTTCAATGTGATCTAATTATATGTCAGAATATTCTCCCAGAGGGATATAGGAGGTATGTCAGATAGGTATGAAATTAATCTCTAACATGTTTGAAAAAATCAACTGCGGTGGAGCTTGAATTTGAACAAACATACTATTATGCAACAAGTTTGAGCTTATGAAAATTCAATCTTTCAAAAGAGTTAAAATCCAGAAAACAAAAGTAATGAGCTTTCGGTCTTTTTAGTGATGCAAATGGAAAGCTGAACTGACAAATGATCTGTGCCTGCAGGACGTTTCATCCTAGGCGTGTCATTATTGCTCAGGCAAATTATCAATACTTTACATTAACATCTTGTACCTATAATCACTTTGATAACTCAAGTGTTTTCCTTATTCTAATAAAATTAAAAACACATTGATATTTTCTCTAAGCAAGACCTGAATCTCCCCTGTGACAAGATCAACTCTGAGTTTCACTAAACCAGTGCTGAAACTCCTGTGACAAGATCAGCTACTGTGACAAGATCAACTCCGAGCTTCACTAAACCAGTACCGAATGTCCCCTGTGACAAGATCAACACCGAGCTTCACTAAACCAGTGCTGAAACTCCTTTGACAGGATCAACTCTGAGCTTCACTAAACCAGTGCTGAAACTCCTTTGACAGGATCAACTCTGAGCTTCACTAAACCAGTGCTGAAACTCCTTTGACAGGATCAACTCTGAGCTTCACTAAACCAGTGCTGAAACTCCTTTGACAGGATCAACTCTGAGCTTCACTAAACCAGTGCTGAAACTCCTGTGACAAGATCAACTCTCAGCTTCACTAAACCAGTGCTGAAACTCCTTTGACAGGATCAACTCTGAGCTTCACTAAACCAGTGCCGAATCTCCCCTGTGACAAGATCAACTCTGAGCTTCACTTAACCAGTGCTGAAACTCCTGTGACAAGATCAACTGTTACTGATCGGTGTGGCATCTATCTCGGCTGGGTCAGGTTAGCTGTGATGATGGGTCATTGATCACGATATTTTTTTAATTGCTGCGCAGGCTATAAACTGTGAGATGAGTTTTACCCAGCCAAATGGGAGATGGTCAAACTCTCAGAGATGGCCAATGCCTGCAAAACTACTTGAGGAGCATTTTATACAACAATAAATCCAGAAATAGCTTCAGTGAACTATTATGGAATTATTATGGTTCTGTTCGGTTGAACAAAACCTTCCAAATGGGGTGCTGGTTTTCTTGGGGGAATTAGTCAGCAAAGAGCCGGAGTCACAGGAGACTAATCACAATTTTATTTACAAGAACAATTAACAATGAACAATTTACAAGATCTTAGAATATAGCTGAGGGTGCCACAGAGAGTCGGTACAACCCTCTGGGCTGTGGGAGAGAGATCTGCTTGGTTAGAGCGACAAACCCCTTCTGCCTAACAATTTGCTTCGGTATGTATTTAAAAAAAATATGATAATTTAATATTGTGGTTTGTGCAAATTCAACGTATTTTGTTTTCTACATGCATGTCCAGTGTATTATAAAATTTATTCTCATGTACGTGTTTATGTTGCGCTACAACTATCCCTCGTAAGGTTTCAAATTCCCCTTCTGCGCATGCGCACGGGAGCCTTTTTACCCATAAGCCCCGTGTCTCTCCATTCCTCTCCCAAAGCTAGAAGGACAACAACACTCGCTACAAAATTGCCATAATACCTTTATTGTGATCAACTGCCGCTTGCACAGACCACCTCCTGCATGTCAGCAAGGTACCTAAAACACCGACAATGGCACCGAAACGGACGTCAAGGAGAACCAGGGCAGCTGTTCCTGTCGAAAATGTTTCATCCGCAACAAGTGAAACTTCCGACAACAGTCGCCATGTTGGGTCACAGGTCAGAGCGAGTGCGACAGGCAGAGCCGTCCCTTACGAGACAACAGTTGACCTGAGACAGAGGCTGCGCTCCTTAGGTATCACAGTGCCTGCATCATGGCGAAGAAAGACGATCCTACAACTGTATAAGGAAAATTTTAACGAGAACCACACGGTCAGTGGAGGGGCCAGCGCTGCTCAACATTCCTCCCCCGTTTCCGCATTGTCGTCTGTACATGCTGTTCCTTCCTGTGACGTTACTCCCCAGTATGTAAACAGCGGGAATTCTGACAGCTCTACTAGCATTCCGGCAACAGTGACAACAGCAAGCAACCAGTTATCGTCAGCAAATGTGGAATTGGTGGGAGTCATGCGGGAAATGAGGGACATGATGACATCCCTCACCCAACGTCTATCCTCTGGAGCTCCCAGTGGAGAAAACATAGCCTGGCCTACATCACAGACAAGTCCAACGCAATGTGTTCTGTCAGATTCCGTGCCCCATGTCAACTTTGTTGACGAAAGTA